TTACCAGTACGCGGGCCTCTCACTGATGTGGCCTCTTCCGTTGTGGAGCACAGGCTCTGGACGTGCAGGCTCAGCGGCCACGGCTCACGGGCCCAGCCGCTCCGCGGCACGTGGGATCTTCCCAGACCGGGGCACAAACCCGTGTCCCCTGCATCGGCAGGCGGACTCCCAACCACTGCGCCACCAGGGAAGCCCAAGAGATGCAACTTCTTATATCATAAATTAGCGTCATGTTTATACTAATCACGGCTGTGTAAGTTCTAAACAAGTGCCTGCGATACTAAACTGATCTTCCTTTGGGTCTACAGAGGAAAGAAAACCTTTAAATCCCAGCATCTTCACAAGCAATGTGCAGCTTACTCTGAGTAGCTATTATTTCCTCAAAACCAGCCACCTGTACTGTGCATCTACTACCAGCTTTGCATTCATGCTTCTGCAGCTAACCTGCAGCTGATGCAGTTCTCGGACATTGGCTTCACACTGCAACTGAAGATCCCGCATTTGATTTTCATGTTTTTGATGCTGAGCCATTCTCTCATTTTTCTGCCTCTTTTCTTCTTGAGAGGCAAACTATAAATAAGAAAAACAAAAGATAAATATGGTTAACAAGTAATGTAATTTCTGCATCTTCCAAAGGTGTAATTAAGGAATGTAACAAAGCTTAAAGTACAATAAACTAAAGCTGCAAGTAATGATATGCTGGGACTCAAAGCTGGAGTCGACGTCATGGCTTTGGTGGAGTGTAGGGAGGTGGAGAGAGACTTCTGATCAAAACCTTTTTCCTCCGACCTGCTTAGTGACCTCAGTTAATTTGCGTGTGGGATCTGTGACTGCAGAAGTAGAGTGAGACCACACGTTTGACTGAAAAGGTGGCCAAGTCATCTTATTCCCAGGGCTGGTCTTAGGACCAGCCTAGCCCTGGATCTGGTGTGGGGCGTGGAAGAGAGCAGCTCTCCGTGGCCAGCACCTGGGGCAGGCTGAGTTGGTATATGCCATATGTGTACAGAGCCATGGTGAACATCGGCGAGCCCAAGGTAGCTCCAAATGTTTACAGCACAATTATGTGGTACTTCTAAAGGCCATTCAAAACTTTTAAACTTAAAGAGAGTAATTTTCTTATTTACTTGTTTAATTTTTTCACGATCCTGATCTGGCGTTGCTGTTGGGTTAATTCTCAAACTCTTCTTAAACATGGCCATGCGAGTCTTGGCTTCACTGCGCTGAATCTTAGGCAGTCTTGCTCTTTCTTGAGCCTGTCTGTTTTTCAACTCCTCAATAAGTCGTTGATTGTAACTCTGCATTTGTTCTGTTTCCTAAGAAAGTTTCAGAGTCCAGTGATGTAGATATAATACTCAGTACCCACATGTGTGCTCAAACATGTCATTTTGCTGTTGCTTCCCCAATTACTCTCTCCCTTGTTGCATACCAACCAGCAAAATACTAGGCAAAAAATAATTTATAAGAAAAATAAGCTATTAGTAATAAGAGATTTATATTGACTCTCGTATACTAAGTATAGGGAGTCCACATTTTTAAGATACCTGAACCATAAATGGAGCCAAAATAGCTAACTCTGAGAGACAAGATGAAGATTATAATGTATAAGGGGTCTTTAAGCATTGTAATTAGTTACCTTCCTTGGAATTTGTAGAAAAGAGTTTGCAATCGTGACCAACATACAACTAATTACTCCAAATTTCAAAGAAGTTTTAGGATAAAAGAAAGGAAACCTAAATTTTATTCTGTAAAAAAATATGTTTCAAAAATAAATAGCTCTGCACACTTTAAAATGAACAAAAAAGTGAACAAATTTTCCTTTCATTAACCTTCTCATGGCGCTTAAGTAGCTGATGTCTTTGCATAAAATACTGATCTTTAAGTTGCTGTTTGAGCAGCTGGTGTTTTTCTTGTAAGTGTCGTTCTTCAAGCTCCCAAATCGCAGCTTCTCTAGCTAGAAGAAGAAAGCAATTTCAAAATGTAACTTTGCTCTTTTTACTAATGTACTTTGGTCTGCATTTTAATATTTACATACAAGTGTTCTAATACACTAATTAATACACACGGACATTCTGAGCTATAAATGAAATATTACCAACATAAAGATAATATCCATTACCACTTTCCGTTCTGCTCTGATGTCCTGTAAACAGAGAATGCCCTACCCACAACACCAAAATTCCATTTAATCATCTTAGCGAGAAAGAAAAAAAATATAAGGTATTTGTTAGGGGAAATAAGTGCTTAAAATTCCATTCTATCATGTAGCCAATTTAAGTATACCAACGTTGTAAGGCATAATGAGTACATGAAATTATTCAGGTATATTTCTACCATCATCTGGACAAAAAAGATGTGTTAAGGATTATATGTTTATGTTCACTTCTATTGCAGTATTTCTTAATTTTATAACGTATTTTCCTCTTATTTAAGTTGCTTCATCTTTCCCTCTACCACTCTAGCAAAAGAAAACATTCAAATAATTTCCAAGCTATATCTCTGCAATGTTTTGAGATATATATATACATATGCTGCATAATTTCATATACCTCTCATGAGCTGCTGTTTGTTATTCAGGCACTCTCTTTCAATATTGGCTAACTCTGCCTTCTGCTGTTGGATGATCTTTTTCAGAGAGCCGTCTAATTCTTGTTGTTGCTTCTGAACAAACTCTTGTTCCTATTAGACATAGTTAACCATCAGTTAATAAGTATCTACTGAGCAAAACATCCATTTATCTATACCTCTGTATACATTAGTGATTAACAAGATTTCTGAACCAAGTTTCTAAAGTCAACTAGATTTAAAAATCACCAAAATTATATAGTATAGACATAACATAAATGTATTAGTCACCCAATTCAAGCCCAGAAAGAAAGTACTAGAATACATAATATTCTAAACTCACTGTTAAGAATAACACATACAAAAGAAGTCCATAACCCACTCATAATTAAAATGCCCTACATCTTTGGGAAACTGACTATTCATTTCTAAAACTGACTATTTCTAAAACTGACTATTCATTTCACTAGAGTGTGGACAAAACAAGAATAAACAAGAAATGTCTTTCAGGAAGAGAGGCAATAAAGAGCAAACAAGAAAAACATATCGGGATTTTAAACTCTCTATTTTTCTAATAATAAAGAGTTAGGAAGCCATACCATGGCTACACTAACAGAGAAAGACAGATTCTGTATCTTCAGCCTGTGCCTAAAAAGAACAATACTTTAAGGATTTAACGAGAAGTAATGCATTGCTAGAGAAATGTGAACTAGAAATACGAAAATGAGTTAACACTTTATGACTCTACAAACAAAATTCCTTATAATCAGAGAATTCTACCAACATGTAAGGGATTAACTCATTCATTCAACAGTATTTACTGAGTACATACTATTTTTGCCCGAATGCCAAACTTATACTTTCAAAAAAAATCCTTCAATTACTGTGTAAGGAAAGGAAAGGTTGAAGTGACTTATGGTCATTATGCTGGATTATACATTCGCAGAAGGAAAGGAAGCATACTCAAATTGAAGAAATGCCAATTTTGCCAGTAAACGTTTGGCTCTCCATCCCTCTCTTGGCTGTTACAGCAGTTTGTGATCAGCTCAAGGGTATTCTGATCAATTTGAGTATAGATTTAGAAATTTGGGGTTGAGCAGCACTTCACCTATAATCCCTCCTCTTGCACATCTAAGAGATATAAAACCTCAAGATCCATTTTGAAACTATTTTTTAGGCCTTGGACAGAGTCTGACAGGATCTGGATCACTACCAGCCTGGTCTTCAGTGCACAAAGAGTTGAGTCAGCAGTGCCCCTCAAGACACTTGTCTTACTACTGTTTCTCTGGAGGTGAGAATCAGGTCTTACCATCCATGACATCCTGTTAGTTTGTTGTCACAAATGCTGCTGTCTCATCTACATCATGATGTGTATTTTAGCATAAATACAAATATACAGTTGCTACTGTATAAGACTAATAAACTGTCTCTATAAAATACAATTGCCAGTTACAAGTGGAATAACATGTACCTTTGTATTTATTGAGCTATGGTCTTATGTACTGGGGACAGGAAATGTACTCATGTGTCGTTAAAAAAAAACATCACGCACGTTGTCAGTTCCGTAGATATAATAAACGCTGAGCAAATTTATACAAAAAAAAATTACAATTGCCAACTTGACTACAGTCACCTACATCACTTTATCACAGCAAAGAAAAAAATAAAAGAAAAACTCAATGAATATTTAAATTCAACTATCTAGAATAAGGCTTTTGAGTTTTATTTAAAGAGATGCAAAAATCTCCATCCTATCTTATAAGCAGTTATAACAAAGTAAGTTGTCAAGCTTCTCTTTTCCTACAGTAAATATCATTTGTAATAAAAATTAAATTGATTCTCTAATTTCACTGTAAAATTTCTATATGCAAACTTGTTTAATAAACAATGTAACCTGCAGATATATCAAAAGTTTTCTTTTGTTCAACATTTTTACCACTAGTTTGCATAAAGAACTTTTAAAAAATATCTGTGTGGACAGAAATAATGGGTCCAAATTACCATAAATAAAAATATTACATTTATATTTATCAAAAAAATCAAGTGTAAAAGATGGGGCAAATAAATATTTATATGAAACTAAAAAAGGTAAATACAGTGGACCCTTGAACAACACAGGTTTGAACTGTGTGGGTCCACTTAAACGTGGAGTTTTTCACTAAGTATGTACTGCAGTACTACACATTCTATGGTTGGATGAATGTCCAGATGTGGAACCACAGATGTGGAGGGCCAACTGTAAAACTATATGTGAATTTTCAATTGCGCGGAAGGTCAGCACCCTGATACCTGAGGTGTTCAAGGGTCAACTGTATAAGCCAGTGCCACTAAAAATGTGAACGTGATTTCTTGTCAATGCAGTTTTTGGTCATATTATTATATTTATGTCTAAATTAAGCAAGATAAGAGTTCAGGTCAAAGAAAACCTTTATTAAGCACTTAGTAAATGCTGGGGACTGTACTACTTACAGGGTTACTAAAATTAATAAAAGACAGTACTGCCTTCAAGGAGTTTCCACTCTATTGGTCCCAAATTGGTTTTATCTGTCAGCCCATATAAAGAGTAGTGGGTCCCTTCCCTTAGTAACATACTTTGAAAAGTTCAAAAGTAAACCACAGAGAACTCAAAGCAAGGAATAAGGGTCCAGAGATCAAGACTCAAAACGAATGACAAGGAACTACAAAAGCATATGCCCTGAAGCGGCCAGTATATGAGGAGAAAGGAGCTAAGACTGTTATATAGAAGCGGGCAGAACTAGCACTGTGCTGCTCCAGAAGATAAAGAAAGATCAACAGATCAAGGCAGGCAACGTATGGAAGCATTTCCTAACCATCAGAGTTTGCAAAGACACCAGCTGCCTTACAGAGCTATGGACTTGAATAATCAAGCAGTGTGTGGATGATTACATAGTCAAGAATATTGCACATTTGATTTTTTTTTATATTAAGGCCAAAAACTACCAAAAAGGTCCCTTACACATTAATTAATATATTTTATTACCACAAAAGAAATGAAAATTTAATATCACTGAGCTTTCATTAAATTTCCTAACTTCAAAAGCCAAGTATAATACATGCACAGTGGAATCTGTAATTAGAAATTACTCTTAGGATCTAAAAGAAAAGTGATCTTACATTCCAAAAAGACTGCACAAATTACACTCATTTAAAAAAATAATAACAGATCAATTTGATCACTAAGAGTAACAATTTCAAAATGGACACAGAAATTGTAAAATGAGTGTTCTTTAAATGTACAAGTTTTAATTCTGATAAGGAATCTTATCCTATTAGTCAGATAACTGTGAACGTTAAAAATGCAGCTTTGGGTTCTAGAAAACTCTAAGAAAGGGTTATGATACGTGGCACTATTTGTACATCATCTGGTCATTTTAACTTAAAAGCTAAAAATGGTAATGATCAGAAAAGTGTTCGTAATTCATAATTTCTCCCTCTTGTCAAAAAATAATTAACATTTTGACTACTCTTTCAGAAAACTATAGAGTCCAATGGCTGACAATAATATAAATAAATAAATAAATAATTTCAGGAGGGGGGAAGGAGGGGTTGAAATCAAGCTGTATTCTATCTACTCCAGTTGTGTATATCAAACATCACAAACAAAAATTACAGTGTTAAATAAGCTAGTCATTTCCCTATAGAAACTGTGAGAAAGAATACAGCCTGGAATTCCAGACTTAATTTAAAACTGCAACATGGAGAATAGCAACCCACCATTCATTATGGACAATTTGAACAGTGAAAACTAAATGCAACTAAAATCACCACTTTTAACATGGCTTTTCTGACCATATCCATAATTAAAACATCTACATAAACATATATGCAATCAAAATGTCACTTCACACGAAGATAAAAATCTAACCACAGCATTCAATTTCTCACATGTGCAAAGTTCATAAAATACTATTGAGAAGATATTTCTTGAAAAAGGTGAAAATCTCAGATTAAAATTTGTGGTGGTGTAGACAGAAAAAAGAACACTGTAGTAGAAGTGTTCTAGTTCCAGCTCTACCACTAATCTCTTTTGTGACTTTAGGCAAATCACTTAGTCTTCTGTGCCTCGATTTCCTCATCTGTAAAACAGATCACCCCATCCCTATATCAGGGGCTGGCAACGAGAATCAAATGTGAACTCTTCAAAGAATACTGTACTATAAAGTTCATGTCAGGTTATTACTATTGTCATCACTGACATTATCATCTATCAATCTTCTAGATTTACAACAAATGAAGCTAACAATGAAAAGGCACATGTGAGCCAAAGAAAAAGCAGGTAAAACAGAAGAAGGCACCCTCCTACAAGGCACGCGGGACTTACGTCCTGCATTTGGGCGTTGAAGACAGCACAAGATGACAACTGAAAAGACTGAATCATGACCTGAGCAACGCCCTGTGGATCAGAATACAACGCACTTCCCAGGTAAGAATAGAGCTGAATGACTTTTTGTAAATGGAAAGAATAATTATACAAACGCAGAGTTTCCTGAGGCCTGGAACAAGTCACTTAACAAAGGGGTCTCTTTCTCATCTGTAAAATGAAGGATTTGAACTAGATCAGTGGTTTCCAAACTCTAATTTGCTGCCATTGTTTTTAAACCAGTTGAACTCTCTTTTTAAAAAACTCACCAAAACAATCTCAGTTTATAAAACAGATGAAAAGTGGTCCTGCTCTGGAAGCAGGGGCCCAGAGCCCTACTGTCCTCACTTTTTTGTTGTTGTTGTTTTTGTTTTGTTTTTGCGGTACGTGGGCCTCTCACTGTTGTGGCCTCTCCCATTGTGGAGCACAGGCTCCAGACATGCACGCTCCGTGGCCATGGCTCACGGGCCCAGCCGCTCCGCGGCATGTGGGATCTTCCCAGACCGGGGCACGAACCCGTGTCCCCTGCATCGGCAGGTGGACTCTCAACCACTGCGCCACCAGGGAAGCCCTGTCCTCACTTTTTGAAGGATTCTCGAGATGCTTCTTCCAAACTCAAGAGCTCCTGAGAGTACAGTTTGAAAACCACTGGACTAGATGATCAAATACATTCTAGTTCCACGACCATATGGCTATTATTCTTAAACTCTTTAAAAAGTTTAAAATATTAGACTCAAGTTATCATGTGTTAACACCTTCATCAAAAGTGGTAGCTAAATAGAAATACTTTTGAAATTTGTTAGATTACTAAATTCTTCATTAAATTTACAGATAGAAATTTACTACTGCTTTCAGCTTTAGTTGGAAAATACAGGCTAGCCCCTCAAATTATATGAAAAATCACCAACAAAGTTTTATTAAAGCATTGGATCACTTACCATTCAACCCTAAATCCTCAATTTCAACTCTAGAGTCTGACATATTACCTTTTGGAATTAAAAACTTTACATTCCTTTACAAGGCAAAACCAAATTGTTATCTTCTGGTTTGAAATCCAAATTATCCAAAAATTGATGTGTGGCCAGCAAGGACTTCCTCTTCACCTATTAATAAGACATGGACAACCACCACTGGGCCAAGCCAATAATTTAGATTAGGCACAGAAGGGGTAGCTTAAATACAAGAGGCAGTATGATGTGGTGGTTCAGCATATGAAACATGGAGCCAAACTTGCCTAGATGACAATTCTGGCTCTACCACTAACCAAATGTGTGAACGTGGGAGTCATTCAACCTCCCGTGCTTTAGCTCCCTCATCTGTAGAAAGGGGGTAATATGAGTAACCACCTCCTGTGTTGTGAGGTTAAATGAGTTCATATAGGTAAAGCATTTAGAACAGTATGTGCCATACAGTAAATGCTGTGTTTGCTATTATCACCTTAACTACAGGCATACCTTGGAGATGCTGTAGGTTCGGCTCTAGACCACCGCAATAAAGCAAGTCACATGAATTTTTCAGTTTCCCAAATATATAAGCTATGTTTATGCTATAGTCTAATAAAGTGTGCAATAGCATTATGTCTAAAAAAACAACATACATACCTTAATTAAAAAGTAGTTTATTGCTAAAAAATGCTAACCATCACCTGAGCCTTCAGCAAGTCATAGTAGTAACATCAAAGATCACAGATCATCATAACAAATATAATAATGAAAAAGTTTGAAATATGGTGAGTATTACCAAAATGTGACACAGAGGCACAAAGTGAGCAAAGCTGCTGGAAAAATGGTGCTGACAGACTTGCCCATTGCAGGGCTGCACGAACCTTCAATTTGTAAAAAACACAATACTGCAAAAGTGCAATAAAGTGAAGAGCAATAAAACGAGGTGTGCTTGTAGTAATTCCCATACCAGGCCAAGACAAAATTTTTCATTGGCTCACAGGAAGAAAACAACAACCAAATTTATTCAAATAGGCTAGTTTTATTAAAATTTTAAATTCTGAGATAGTTTCCTTATTTTTCATGGTGTTAAAATCATCTCTCTTTTGAAATGATGGTGACAAATAAAGGGCAGTTTCAAATAACCTTCCTTGACAAAAACAAAAAAAATTTTAATGGCAACCCATTTGTCATGCCTCCCAAAGGTTTCTGTTGCTTCTATGTTTCTTTTCATGAATCTATAAAATTCAAAAGTCTGGGAACCACTTTTTAAATTACATAAAACCCACATTAAAAAGATAATTTAAAGCAACAAATAAATAATCCATGTCTCTTCTTCCTTTCATTAACATCTGTAACTACAAACTGAGCTCACTTCTCTCTTTGCCTCCCAGCTGAGTGCAAGCTTAATTAAAAGAAAGGTGATCCCAAGTATAAAAGACCTCATACTCATGTGAGATACTTCTAGAAAAATCTGTTGAAAATCCAAATTTATCTATTTTGTAGAGAATTCACCCATCAATTGGCTCTGCCTTATCATAATCTAGAATCAGGTTTATATAGGTAAAAACTGCCTATTTTTGTAACTGCTGGATTCTGAACCAAAAAGAAAAACAACATACTTAACATTTAAAATCTGGTTTTAAGTTGCTTATATTGTTGAGTTTAACAGTAATAAGTGTTTGATCTACCATTTAACATTACCGTTTACCAGGCTTGCAGGATCTCAGTTCCCCTGACCAGGGAAGGAACCCAAGCCACAGCAGTGAAAGCCCGGAATCCTAACCACCAGGCCATAAGGGGACTCACGAATTAATGGCCTTTTAAATATGCATTCCTTTTGTATGCATAAAGCTTATATACTCACCCTCTATATTTTTCTGCCCTAAAAATCTTCTATCAACCATTGACATTACCACTTAAATACAAGCTTCCCTCATGATTAAAATAAGAATACAGTGGATTATACATTAACATACACGTTTATTTCATCTGGAGTCAGCTTTCCAAACATTTCACTTAATCTCATGTTAGCAACTTAAATGTCACCATTAGTGTGAATTTAGTACTACATAAAGAATGCCCTGGGAAACTTTGTATAAGGAGACGTCAACATCATATAAGTACAGAATTTACCCTTTCAACCATGGTTTACTGAGCTGTGAGAATATTGCCACTTTCTGTTTTTAGTAGCATTAAGCTGCTGCTGTTACCTGAGCATGCTGGCTTTGTGCAAGCTCCTCTTTCCTGCGTTTCATGAGCTCTTTTCTCAGCTCTTTGGGTGCTTTCTCCACTTCATTTATAACCTACAGTGTATAAGCATGCAGGAGGTGGGGAAAAACACTTTCTCCACAGCAAGCATTTATGTGAGCAGACAAGCTACAAGTCAAGTAAAGCTGTTAAAAAGCTCCTTTCAACATGCATTAGCATAGGTGTTAGTTTGGTGAAAAAGAATGAAAGGATAGAACATGCTTAATCTCAGTGCAGAAAGGGACATTACACCATATAAGGAAAATTAGTTGCTTAATTATCCCTACATATCATTCTCTCTTTAGATCCAAAGACAATCAGTAAAGAATTACTTGCAACGCTAACGCTGAACTAAAGGTGATAAACTCAACTGACCTTGAAAGATCATAAAATTATAAACATATCTACTGACATTGTCTGAAATATTGGATATAAGGAAAACAAATGCCATTCATTTATAAATCTGCAAAATTTCATAATTGGCTTGATAAAACCAATGAAATAATTCTAAATGAAATCCACTTAATGAGATCAAAAGAAAAACAAAAGGGAAAGTAAGCATTAGAATACACAAAGGAGAGACAAATGGACACTGAGTTTTCTTTTTTCATAATAAACTATTTTATATATGGTGCAGTAAAAATGAACACATCTGATGATTTGGGGATTAGATTAGAAAAACATTCTCCTTTGCTGATAATTTAAGCCAAAATCAATTGTCAGCTTTAAAATCAGTAATATAACCCCTCATAAAATAAGTTTATATACTATGATTTATTATACCAAATAAAGTATATTATAAAATGAAGTGTATTTTAGAGCTCCTTCTTTCAATCATTTCAAAACCCTAGATATGTACTCCACCTAACAATAGATCTGTAATCCAACTATGAAAAACGATCACGTGTTTATAAGTAGAAGCACCAAAAGCAACCAGATTCCAAATCACCACACGCCATTGATGGTCTGTGAAAGAGACTGATTTTGATTTAACATAGTGTATTTAAAATTTCCCATCAGTAATCTCTCATGAAACCAAATCACCATGAAAAAGAAGAGACTCCCCAAATGCAAGAAGTTTAGCGGTAAGGAAAAAAATACAGAATAGAATTATTTAAAATATGCATATCACTATCTCAAACATGTTCTCTGGCTAAACCTCTCCTAGCCCAAAACAGTAACAATAACTAGAAACTTCTATATATCTATAATTAAATCATATACTTACCTACAAAATTTTTAAAATTTAACCTGATATTAAAAAATAACCTCTTAATAAAAACTACTCATGGTTTCAAGAAAATTAATATTTAGTTATTACAGTAAAGGCATACATCATGGTATATAGAACAATTCTATATAAAATATAATAAACAGTAATAAAACAGTAATTTTTAGAAATGGTAGCCAAATCAAAAGGCTATATACCATTTCATTTATCTTTACTTAAAGAAATCATAGAATGCACTGTATTTATCAACATTTGATTCTATCCTTTTTAAAGCAGATCCTCAAGTTCAGCAAAATGATGTTCCATTATCTGCATAATTTCATTGTTAAAAATCAATGAATCTGAGTACTTGGGACATACAACAAAAGTGAAAATGTATTCACTAGTTTGGTTGATATTAGTGTGTTCCAAAACTAATAAAACTGATCATAATATTGTCCTGGGGTCTTTCATATCATGAAAAGATAAATTCTCCTCTTACACTAAAGGAACAGAATAAATTATAAAATTATCTCTCAAAACTGCTAATATGTAAAAGCTCTTAGTGTTATTTTAATTGGGGAAGAAAAAGACACACTAATACAATATGTAAATCCTCTTTCTGAAACAATGACAATCTTTCATAGTAAATAATACCACAAATAGATTCTATGACAATATGGAACAGTTTCAGGAAAAATGAAAAAATTCATTATAATCAAATGACTCTCCAGATATTTTCCACCTGTGATTCTTCAAAGTATCTCACAATTTGATAAACTTAAAGATATTATTTCAAATTTCAGCTTACTCAGCTTTTGTTTTGACACAAAGTCCAAGAAAGGTAATCAACAGAAAAAAAATTTTTAAGCATGAATTAAATATTACAAATAAATATTAAGATGAATTATTATTGCCACCTGCAAACAGAACATAGTATGCTTTCTTGAAAAAAAACATTACTATGTCAGGCCTTAAATGCTGCATTAATAAAGGAGGAGTGATAGGTTGAAAGGAAAATGGATTACACTCAATTTGAAGACTTGGTTCAAGGGTTAGCTGGACATTTAATAATAGTTTGTGAACTTGAACAGGCCATTAAAACCTCTTCTACTCCAGTTTTCTTAGCAGTTAAATGAGATAACATCTGACCTTACTACTACCCTACATAACTGCTGGGAAGACCAAAAAAAAAATGAATGAGCGCCATTTAACTACCAAGTATTATCTTAATTCCTTAGACAGTCTTAAGTGTACATTAAAAACAGTAGTTACACTTACCTCTTTCTTTCGGTTCTTTAACATATTCTGAAATTTGGACAACTCTTTCTCTTGTTCACCTTTAATGCGTTTGGCTTCATCTCGTAAGCGATTTGTGTGTTCTTGTTCTAGACGTTCAATAGTCTGTTTCTGCTGTTTTTCTAGATTCTCAATCTCTTGGTCATATTGTCGTTTCTTGCTCTGTAAAATGATGTAGCTCAAGATCATTTAACTTTAACATTAACGCTCATATTAATTCATTATACTGAAGATGTTTACTAAGAGCACATAACTGGCATTTAAATTTGAGTGACATCATACGTACCCTTTGCAATACTGAACAAGTTCAAATGCACTAAAATATGTTTTAAAAATTTTTCAAAAAGATGTGCATTTCGTTTTTTTCTAATATGGAAAACACTTTTTTCTATTGTACAAGTGTAGAATGTTCAAAAATTTTAGACAATCTAGAAGAATATCCAGTTGCTATGAAATATTAAAGTAAGAACATTTTCAATATTTATCCTATAAAACTTTTGATAAATCAAAGGTCTCATTTGAAGTCTATTTTAAAAATGTACCATCACTTGTCATTTTCAAATTTACTCTTCCTCATTAAGATTCTTAAACATCATATTTCATTGATACAAACCTTTCAGAATTATAAATCTACTCTCTCAACAAAAGATTCCTGCTTATACAATACTTGAGTAACACTGCAATTTTAGACACAGGTAGAGTTAAGTATTTGTAAAGGGTGTTTCCTTTTTAAAAAAATTAAAAAAGCAAAATATTTTGGAAAATATTGGGGGGGAGAAACAGTTTTTATAAGGTTCTGAAAAAACAGAATATAAGTACTGTAAAAATACTCAAAGAGAACAAAAGTTCATAATTCTCTTAGGAGTTCTAAATTATGATCCAACATATGTAATCAGCAATGCCAACCTTCACACAAAACAATCCTTACCACTTAAAATTATAAAAACATAAGTACTATAATCAACCATGAATCCTATAACGTTTCAGATGATCTTTTTTCTAATCTACATTAAGCTACATGTTCAACATAAGTTACTGAAATTTTAAATCACATTAATAATTCCTTTTCCAACTTTGGACACAAAGTAAAAATTTAAAGACTCGGTGACAATTACCCTTTACAAGTCAGCACTAACTTCTCTAGCAGCTGTGAAAAGGGATGTGGAAGCTTAACTGTAGTAGCTAGAGAAGTAAATGTATTTTGAAAAATTCCCCAGGAAGTTCTAATACTCAGCCAAGTTTGAAGACAACTGCTCTCGACTGGTTTAAATCTTGGATTCTAATTCTGAGAGGTCAAACTGTAACAATAAAAAGTTATACAGTGGGCTTCCCTGGTGGCGCAGTGGTTGAGAGTCCGCCTGCCGATGCAGGGGACGTGGGCTCGTGCCCCGGTCTGGGAGGATCCCACGTGCCGCGGAGCGGCTGGGCCCGTGAGCCATGGCCGCTGAGCCTGCGCGTCCGGAGCCTGTGCTCCGCAACGGGAGAGGCCACAACAGTGAGAGGCCCGCGTACCGCAAAAAAAGAAAAAAAAAAAAAAAAAAGTTATACAGCAACAGGCACACCTAAGAACTTTGCAAACCATCTACTAGCTTCATGATTCCAGGTTTTCATGACAGATTTAATCAGAGAAAAATGAAAACACCCAACACACTGTAAGTCAGGCAGAAGGAGAAGAGAAGAGAAGAAAAAAGAAAGCATCTAAAACACCAAAGAGATAAAGGCGAGAAATACATCACAAAGCCAGAGAAATCTAGTAATCAGAGAACAAGTTCTAAAACCTGCCAGTGGTGGGGTTTTTTCTAAGCCTTAAATTTCTTTATTAACAAAAGGGTACAAAATTCCAAGACTTTACCACCATCTCCTGCTCAAAACGCCGGAAAATTTGCTCTCGCTGTTGTTGCAGTTTGCCATTGAGCTGCTGTTGGGCTCTTTGCTCTTCTTTTTGAAGAAATCTTAATTCCCGAAGTTCCTGACGTCTGATAAAATTTAATGGCAAGGATACAAGAAAGACAGCAAAAGTTACACCTTTGAAGTAATGCTTTAAAAGAAAAAAAACTTTAAAAGTAACATTTATTTTCAAATGGAAAAGTAATACAAGAATCCAAAATTAGCCAAGACTTTACTCTTGTTTCTCTATTCTTCAGACTCTGCAGAGACTTGAGAAGTCACAAAACCAGTTTGAATCATGTTGTTTCTCTACTCACCTAAGAAACCTCAATTCTTCAGTTTTGGAATCACTATCTGTAACTATCTTTGATGTTGTTACACTCACTTCGACACCATCAACAATAAATTTGCGTGTTTTCTTCAACGTTTTCCTTTGTCTTCTTGTTTCCTGAGTGAGATTTTATTTTAGTTAGGCTTTATATGGGGAATACTAGAGAGAGAAAACATTTTCTTCTTAAAAAAACAAAAACAAGAAACTGAACAGCTATGAAGACTACACTATAAAGTTTGAATAGAAAGCAGTAAGACTCAACTTTGAAGCCAATTATATCATCGCACACCTCATCTGACTTTCACATGATTTTACAGATAAAATCAAATTTTTTTCAAGTGAAATTATGCATTTTGATGATGTGCATGTAGAATTTTTATACCACATCATAATTAGCCACAAGTGGTAACAAGCAATTCACAAAAAAGAGTAATTAGTACAACTTTCACATGTTAACCATTCTTTCCTCTTTTTATCTTGTAGGTTCGCAGATACCTCTGTTTTTCTGTTTTAGAAACACTTACAAAGCGATTAAAAATGAATTCCTGGGGCTCATCCCTTAAAGAATCTAAATCAACAGGTCTGAGGGTGGCTGAGAATTTCATTTTGAAAGGCTCCCATATAACTTTTAAACACTGCCAGGACTGGGATTCAAAATCCATTTCATCAACAATAGTATCACCAGTCCTCTTCCATCTCAGGGCTGGAGATGGATGAGTGATTTTAGAGTTACTAGAAAGACAGCACCTTTACCGCACTCCCAAAATACCAGATCTGCCTGTTAGCTATTGCCCCAAATTCTTTATCAAGACCAAACTCTTCATTCCTCAGTTGGTTATCCAAATGCTTTTTAAAAGCAAAGAGAAATAACAGAAGTGCAACACTGCTACAAAAACTTCTTGGTAAACTAAGTATTCAGAACAGATAATTACTTAGTTTTGATAGGTGGAAAAGGTTAGAAAGCAGAGGGAGCAAAAGGGGAATGTGAAGATACTACATTCAAAATGCATTAGAATTTTTAAGTTGATCTTTGGCACTTACTAATCACCTTTCTTCAGCCTCTTACTGTTGTACTCTCTAGGCTTCCAGTATTCTCACACTGCTCTCCCTAAGCCCTGGACTACGGCCACCCTATCCAGACTTCCTCTAAAACCTAAAGCGGGCATGCTCCAAAAATAAATCTACCTCCCTGTAATCTCCAAATTTTCCATTTCTTCAGTTCCTACTAAAGTATCCACAGCTAATATCACCTTAATTCTCTCAGAAGTATCTGCATTTTTTGGAAAGGCTAACTATTAAGTCAGTGAATGAACTTCAGATTAATGGAATTTCAGCAGGGCAACAACCTGAAAACTCAAGACCATCTAGGCAATACATGTAATAATTTGGGGCAGATACGCAGGCTGATCAGTCATGCCCTGGCGTCCTAACCCTAAGGTCAACTTTCTTCAGTTCTTTCTGCTTTTCGGCCACCTGTCAATCCAGAGTCTCACCTGTATCAGAATTCCATGGGATCTTTTGCTATAAATACTGATTCTCTGGCCCCACTCCATACTTCTACACAGCCCCCTCCTAGTAACTCAGATTGGAGAATTATGCCTAACAGCTCCAAGTGTTCGAGGTTTAGCGTTTGGCTTTCTTCCCACGATGATTCTCACGGCAGTAGTGATCTCTATGACTTAGGAGGTAAGAGTGGTCACCGCACGTGCCAGTGGTAACAAGGGCTGTTTATACCCTAAACATTCTTAAAAAGAGATCATTGTTTCAAGTCCTCAATTCTTTCATATACTGCTGATTCCTGCTACAATTATACCTAGGTATGTACAATAGGAAAACCCAAATTCCAGTAAGCAACTGCATTATACTATTTCTATCAAGTTGGCAAAAATAGATAGGTACTACCAAAAAATTTAAAGATTACATCCAGAATCTCTTTAGTTTTTTTTTTTTAATTGATTGCCCTCCTAGGCCTTAAGAATTTTATAGGGTTAATACTACACTGATTTAGTGTTGTTTTGTTTTCAAGATGTCAGCTTCACATAAACTCTCAACTGCCAGAATAACAAAGAAAAATCCAAACAAGGACCCGTGTACACTTACTTGTAAAGATATTGATCCATTGTCTTTAGTTTTGCTTAGGAAGCTAGAAATGGATAAATTCAAGTCAATGCTGCTATTATCAGCAGTGGAACCAGTGCCTGAATCAGTATCATTTTCCTTTTGATTCTCAGATTCTGGTAACATGGTTTCAGTTTTTGATAAAGCACCTATTTCTCCTTTATCTTCTGCATCTTCAGGGTTGATATTAATACTGGGTATTAGAAGAGGCTGAGGTTCACTGGGCTGTGAAGTGGCAGGAACCTGAGGTTCTGCCTTAATTGGCACTTCGCACGGGGTATCTTTCTGCTCTGTGTCCATCTGAGCAGTGGCTTCATGAGCATCCCGAGTTTCACTTCCTAAAGCCCTTTGGTCACTATCAGTCACCGCACTTCTGACCTCCATTCCTTCAGTGCTACTTGATTCAGTAATCTCAACTTCATTTGTCCCGAGCTCCTCATTGGTCTCCACTATGTTCTCTGAACTGCTGATTAACTGTTCCTCACCTTTACCTTCTACAGATTTTTGATCTATCTCATTAGTTTCAACTATTTCTTTAATAGAAACTTCTTCAGTACCACCAGCCTCAGGACCCTCTGTGGACTTGACCACTAATATCTGGCCTACTTCACCCACTTCTTTCCCATCATTACTCTGAGCATCCTCAGCACTGTTTTCAGTTGCCTTCTGAGCAACGTCTTCTGCCTCATTTGTTCCTATCACTTTGCTTGTGTCACTGATCATATCGTTTTCAGTTTTGTCATCTCTTCCCAATTTCTCGAGGGTGTCTTCCTTTGTAAACTCAACTTCACTTTCAATTGCCTGAATATCTGCCTCTTTTTCTCCAGTCTCTTGAGAAACTAAATCCATTGTCTGAATAGTAGTGTCTTCAATTTCTTCAGATTTTATAAACTTATTTTCAAGTATCTGTTGCTTTTCTTGATCCCCTTCTTCCTCAGGTTTCAGATTCTGCTCAATATTTGTTTCTGAAGTTATCATTATGTTATTTTCTTTTCCTTCATTGACTGAATTAATGTCCACTGTTTCATGGTCTTCTGTGTCAGGTAGATTTTCAAGCTTGGGTCTCTTCTCCTCTCTCCCATTTTCCTCGATTACTGTTGCTGTATTATGAAGCTCAGCCATAGCTTCTAAATGAGTATCATTAACATGTTCATTAATGCCTACTACAGTATTTTCAGGTTCATCGGTGGCAGGTTTTTCAGTAAGAATTTTACCATTAAATTTATCTTCAGAAGTATTACGTTCTGTTCTTTCTGAGACAGATTCCAAAATACAAGCATTTTGTGAAAGCTTATCTTCTTCAGAGCTGGCAATACTAAGGTCAGAGGAGGCACGCTTACTTGCAGGTATTGGCTAAAAAAGATTTTATACAGTTTTAGTGTTAAAACATAATTTCAAGATGGTAACCAAAACAACATTTCATATATAAAAATGATTTAATTCATATATATAATGATTTAATATCTTTATTCGGTAAAATCTGATGAAATTATAAAAATAACTTAAAGAATTGACAAATCTTCACATAATAAATACGACAAAAATGGGCAGCAAGGAGCAAACTTAATAAATCTTCACCTCTAAAATTAAAGGTTTTTGTAATGCTACCCATCAATTAATTCTTAGACACAGCTGCAATCATACCTCAAAATTCAACTCTAAAAATTACCTAAATGAAATTTCCTTTCTAAATACTGACCAGAGAATTTTCTGTTTCCTCATCATCATCCTCCTCTTTGCCATCTTCAACTTCTTCTGTTACTTCAGCCTTTGCCTCTGCAATCAATTCTCGAATTGGTTTGTTGGAATCAACAGTCACAAAGGGATGCTGTTTGATCATTAAAAAGAGCATACGCAGTAACAACTGAAATGCTTGTGAAGTAAATTTCAAATATATAAAACATATTGTTATGTGGCAAAAATATAAACATATAAGTAGGAAAAATACAAACAACTTCAGATGATATTACATCTGGGAAAAGAAGGAGAGGGAGGGAATTGAGCAGGAGTAGGGGCTGCCTGCAACTGTACCTGTACCTTTGTTTAAGAATCTGAAAGAAATATGTCAAAAATGATAACATATTACATCTGGGTAGTAGGTATATATACTTTTCTGTATGTCTGAAAACTTCATAACCTAAAATCTAAATTAAAATTTAAAGCAAGTTTCAAGTACACTACTAGTTTTAGAAAGTAACAATATGTTTACAATATGTTTAATTGTTAGAAAGTAACAATATGTATAAAGCCTCAATAAAAGAATTACAAAGGGCTTCCCTGGTGGCAGTGGTTGGGAGTCCGCCTGCTGATGCAGGGGACGCGGGTTCGTGCCCCGGTCCGGGAAGATCCCGCATGCCGCGGAGCGGCTGGGCCCGTGAGCCGTGGCCGCTGGGCCTGCGCGTCCGGAGCCTGTGCTCCGCAGCGGGAGAGGCCACAACAGTGAGAGGCCCGCGTACCGCAAAAAAAAAAAAAGAATTACAAAAAGTTTTAAAGTTCTGTTAAAAGTATCTACCTCCTACAGTGTTGGTGGGACTGTAAATTGGTACAGCCACTAGGGAGAACAGTGTGCAGGTTCCTTAAAAAACTAAAAACAGAGCTACCATATGACCCAGCAATCCCACTCCTAGGCATGTATCTGGAGAAAACCGTAATTTGAAAGGATGCATTCTCCCCAGTGTTCACTGCAGCACTATTTACAATAGCCAGGACATGGAAGCAACCTAAGTGTCCACTGAGAGAGGAATGGATAAAGAAGATGTGGTACATATATACAATGGAATGTTACTCAGCCATAAAAAGGAATGAAATAGTGTCATTTGCAGAGACATGGATGGACCTAGAGATTGTCATACAGAGTGAAGTAAGTCAGAAAAACAAATATCGTATAATATCACTTATATGTGGGATCTAGAAAAATGGTACAGATGAACAAAGTCACAGATGTACAGAACAAACTTATGGTTACTGATGGGGGGAAGGGGGCATAGGACGAACTGGGAGACTGGGATTGACATATATACACTACTATGCATAAAATATATAACTAATGAGAACCTACTGTTTAGCACGGGAACTCTATTCAATGATCTGTGGTGACCTAAATGGGAAGGAAATCTAAAAAAGAGTGGATATATGTATACGTATAACTGATTCACTTGTTGTACAGCAGAAACTAATACAACATTGTAAAGCAACTATACTCCAATAAAAATTAATAAAAAGTGTCTATAAACATCTGTTTTTTGACATAGTTCTAATATTCTTAAGAGTAAGAAGATATTTTATTCACCTCTGTACACTCAGCACTTGGTGTTTGTCACAGATTAAGGCCTTCAAATGGGGGGGGGTAGTGAAATAATAAGAGAAAGTGTGTTCCGAAGATATACTTGTTGTACAGAGAAAGGAAATTTTTCCCGCTTCTCCCCCCCAGATAAATAGATCAACCTAAAAAAACTATAATGGAGGAGTTGTACTCAAACTAACAGTAACTGCCTCAAGACTTGTCATTCTATTTCTCTACCTATACTATTATTGACAAAATTTTATTTCAAATATTACAAACAAGTCCTGCTATAAAACAAAATTATCCAATCACTTTAACACCATTTTTTAAAAGTTAGCAATATTTACTGAATATTTACCCTCACTGTAAGGGACATTAAAAAAAAATTAATTAGCTAATGGCCCCTGCCACCAAGGTGCTTGTTTTCTAGTAACTGGAGAGACAAAATGTAAGTAACTGATACAGTGGAAATAACTAAACAAAATGAAAAAAACACAATTAAACTGAATCAAAAAAGCATACAAGAAATTTAAAAGCTAAATAAATGCCCTTAATAACAGCAGCAAATGTTTGTAAAGCAAATGTTAACTACTAAAATGAACCTTGAGTGAGTTTGCAGAGGGAAACTCAAGTGGAAAGAGGGCACACTGAAGGAATCTGAAACTGTATTCTTCTTAAAGAGATGTTACAACAATTATATGGTTTGCCATTGTCATACTACTCTTATCTTACCTGCAGTAGCTGAGATGTAGTCCACCTGGAATCCACATTCTTTTCCAAGCACTTCTTTAGAAAGTCCTTAAAATTTGAAGACCTTCAAAATAAAATTTTAATAATGACATTCTATTTTTCTTGTTATTAAAATCAAAACTCTGAGAAACTATGGTTAAGTTCCATTATGTATGTAATAGTATTAATTCAACATAAGAAAACTAGTTATGAGAATATTAATATTTCATAAGTCATTTATCTATAAATACAAGTTACATATATATAAATAGATTCATAGTTTAAGTCATTGAGATACAGCCATATATCCATAAGTATGCTAAAAATCCTCTCACTGTTATGGCCTCTCCTGTTGAGGAGCACAGGCTCCGGATGCGCAGGCTCATTAGCCATGGCTCACAGGCCTAGCTGCTCCGCAGCATGTGGGATCTTCCTGGACCAGGGCACGAACCCGTGTCCCCTTCATCGGCAGGCGGACTCTCAACCACTGCGCCACCAGGGAAGCTCCCTTCCATTATATTAAACTCCACAGATACAGATCAATCACATATATGCCTCACCTTCTCATAGTACAGAAAATATCTCTTTCATGTAGAACTCAAATCACTGGTATCTTTTAATTTATGGGGAAAGTTAGTTACAGGAGTTTATATGGTCCTTAAGTCTTGAAAATACACCAAAAATCAGTTTTCTACTTCATACAATCTTTGTACCATGTACCTAAATTTAAATACCCTTGGAAAGTTGGAAGAATAAAGCATCAAGTTTTGCTTCTTAAAAAAAATTGTTTAGGAATACTTTACCATTTTGATGGCTGTGCTAATGTAGGGGGCTCAGATTTTGCTATTTTTAGCAGCACTCGCATTGGATTTAATTCATGATGAGGTGGTTCTATCTCAGCCATTTCTATTAAAGTGATACCCAGGGACCAAACATCAGCTTTGTAGTCATAGGGTCTGTCCTTAGATGTTTCACACATGACTACCTCAGGAGCCATCCTATGAAGACAGAGAACTGAAAATTAAGATGTTTAACTTAAGAGCAGTGATCACAAACCACATGAAAGATAGACAGTGTAATTGATTATGTGGACAAAATTAATGAGTAATAATAACTGTTGACATAACTAACGCTGCAAATCCATAAAACTAAATACATACCAATAGGGTGTGCCGATAAAGGAATCTCTCCTTTGAATTGTCCTTGTGTTTTTAGCTGATACTCCAAAATCCGCTTGAAATAATCATACAAAAGTATTAATGATAGTTTTTAAGCAAAGAACGCTATATTCAACATAAGGGAAAATCATATCAAGTCTTTAATAAGGCCACTGTTATTAAAGGGTAAGCAAAATAGAAAGAGAAATAACTTCTCTATCATCCTAATTTTGACCACCCTCTTTCTACCATACCCCCACCCCCCAAAAAAAAACTGCCAAAGAAAAGATTCCATCATTAATACACTTGATACCACCATCCTTACACATCTTCAGATCACAAATTCTCCAGAATTGAAAAAAAAAAAATTAACTTTAAAATAGATCAGTCTATCCACTTCACCAAAATAAATGCCAACTAGTGCTATATGTGACAATTAAATTAAGGGACATTTTTTCTATAGTGTGAAAAACAAATTATACTAAAGCAGCCTTTATGACAGCATATGTCTTACTAACTTCCTCATAAAATTATACCACAAAGAAAAAAATTAGAAACGATGCTTTCTAATTTAAATTATAGGGCACAGCAACATTATAGCTTTATGGGTTGTTAACTCCTTTTCAGCTTAGAGCTCAATCGTTAATAGCAACATAAAATTGCTATTGCTGCATAAATTACCTCATACCATATACATTTAACTTTTAAAGTTTCATCTGACATGCCATGATTCTCAAAACTGAATACCAAAAATCCTGTATTTAGTATTCATGCCCCAAGGCCTGGCACAGAATATATACACAATAAATGTCAGCTACTGTTATTAATCATATGTGTAATTTTAACCTTCGTGATACTTTGGCAGTAGAACTCTTAAAACTCATGAAATCCTGCCCTATATTCTAATTATTTATGTCTATTATATAGTTCTTTTTTTTCTTCTTTTGACCATGTAGTTCTCCTGCTTAAAACATCTTGGCAGCTACCTAATGCCTGTAGAATGATGTTGAAGCTTCTTAATATGGTGTATGAAGTCTCCTGTTACACTAGATATTTCATTAATGTTTTATAATTAAATTAATAAATGAATTTGCCAATAGAACATACTATACTTGGAAGATATATCTGCAGAAAATGCAACATAAATAGATGTATTCAGGACTCTCCATTCCTATTACCCCCCTACTTCCTCAACTTATAACTTGCCATGTTTCCACAGGACGGGATTGAGATCACAATATGAAATTCCTGCCAGAAGAGGTTTTCTGCTCAGGTAGAGTCAGCTCAGTACGTATTCCAGTGTGTTCCTAGAGCCTACTAATGGTCTATTCTTTTTAACTTTTCCCCCCTCAGAACGTGACTGGGAAAGGAGGTTGAGAAACAGGCCTAAACCACTAAGGTCCACTGTCAACATTCGTACCTCTCGAAGCACTCTTATGAGCAGGAGGTAAACTAAGGAGGGACAAGAAGCCATCTTCATTTTTGTGCAAAGGGGAAAACTAAGGTCATTATGTGCTTTACAGTTCTACTTATAATGATATGGCATATATATGTTAGTCTGTTAAAATAGCATTTTACATACTTATTTCCATTTGTAACAATGTGATCTGACAAGGCCATAAAAATTTGATTATTCTATATATGGTTCTTGAGGATAGTATGGTTCTACATGCATCTGTGTACACTTAATACAATGTCACAGAATTGGAAGGTTCTCTGTATTTATGAATTAATGAAACAAAGTACTATTTTAAATGTCAACCAACTCAAAACTATTTTGGCATTCCTAAATCTTCAAAAATATACTTATTTTTAATGGCATGCATTATTTTACACAAAAGTATATTCCTGTATTCAAATAAGATTTTAGTACACTTACAGAAAAACATGCACTAAAAAAGATCAAAATTATATCTCAAAACGAGCTACAAGACTAAAAGATGATGACATAAAAGAGTAACAGAAGTCAGAATTTTAAAACTCATAAATGAGGTGACAGAACTCAAGGGAAAATTAGAAATAAAAAACAATTTTAGAAACAAAGGCTAAAGTAGGAGGAATGCAAGAGCAAATAAACACAACAAATCCACACCCATTACCACTTCACACCCATTAAGATAGCTAACATCAAAAATACAGAAAATAACAAATGCTGGCAAGGAGGTGGAGCAACTGGAACTCTTGTGCATTGTTGTGGAAACGTAAACTGGCGCAACCACTGTGGAAAATGGTATGGTGGTTCCTCAAAAAATTAAACAGAGAATTACCACATGATCCAGCAATTCCACTTCTGGGTATATATCCAAAAGAACTGAAAGCGGGGACTCAAATAGATATTGTACACCCATGTTCACAGCAGCATTATTCACAAAAGCCAAAAGGTGGAAGCAACCAAAGTGTCCATCAATGGATGAATGGATAAATAAAATGTGGTGTATACATATAACAGAATATTATTCAGCCTTAAAAAGGAAGAAAATTAACACATGCTACACCATGGATGAACCTTAAAGACATTATGCTAAATAAAGTAAGCCAGTCACAAAAGGAAAAGTATTGCAGGATTCCACTTACATGGGGTATGTAGAGTAGTCAAATTCACAGAGACAGAAAGGAGAATGGTTGCCAGGGGCTGGGGGAAGGATGAAATGGGGACTTAAGCGTTTTAAGGTGTACAGAATTTCAGCTGAGGAAGATGAAAAGGTTCTGGAGAAGGGTGGTAGTGTTGGCTGCACGACAGTGTGAATGCACTGTATGCTACGGAACTGTGCACTTAAACATGGTTAGGACGGTGAATTTTAAGTATATTTTGCCACAATGAAAAAAAATGAAGAAAGATAAAAAGAACCTGAGAGAAAGTTATAAATACTGATGATTGTCAAGCCCAACAAAAAGATAATAAAAGTCTCTAAAGGAGAAAGTCGGCGCAAGGGAACAGAATAAATACTCATATCTATAATTACAGAAAACCTTCCTGGGGGGCGGGGGGTGAGCAGGAAACAAAAAAACAACACTTAGAGAAGTTTAGTCAAAGTTTAGTCCTTAAAAAAAAAGTCTTTGGCATCTAGGCAAAAAGAGCACATGACTTACATGACAAAGAAAATCAGATTCTCATCAGACTTTTCAATAACACTTTATGACAGAAGAAAACAGAGGAACATATTTTAGATGTTCAAGGAAAGAAATGTGAACCAAGGATTTTCTATCCAGCAAAACTGACCTTCGAAGTATAAAGGGTAGAAGTGTTACCATTATATAAGAACTCAGAGAGCCCTTTCAGAGAAATCTACCAGAGAATGAACTTCAGACAACCAACATAACCAAAGAGACATGAACAAGAGTGGTGGTGAGCGCTGAATATAGAAATGAAGGTTAAAATGAGTAATTACAGAATACTCCAAATCTATCATCAATGTTTTTGAGAAGCAAGATTCTCAGGATAGAAGAAAAGCGATACAGATGTAATACAGAAGGAGCTGAGAGAAGAAAAAAAAAAGGCTTTATCCTGAATTTGAACAGGCCATATGTAGGAACTCATGAGATCCTAGCTCTGTCCTTTGGAAAGGCCTAGAATGAAGGCAAATCCAGAAACTATAAGCATGTCTAACACTCAGATTGTGGTCTTGAAATACCATGTCCTACTAAAACATCTTCTTCAGGGCTTCCTGAAGAAATGGCTAATTACAGGTCTGAGGCAGGAAATGTAAAAGATGAGCCTGAAACATCTCAACCTAACAGACAGCAAGGAATCTACCAAAGATTAGTAGAGTCGTGTCAAAAAGATTAACAAGCCAGCTTGAAGAAGCTCCCACTGACCAAGATGGTACAACGTGAGCTTTAATAAGGATAAAAATTGTAATAGATTTGAAACCTATAAAATAAAATTATATTCATGAATTAATAATGCCATTAAAAAAAAATACTGGCCACCACCTAAGGATGAGAGAGAACCAATTCATTGTCTTTAAAGCTTAATAAATAATAGGAAAGAATCAAGCATTTTTCCAGCCCTGTCTATATGAACTATACTCCTGAATAACCAAACAGTTGAAGGGAAGTGTCTTTTTATATAAGTATTCCTAATTTTATAATGATGATAAATGAAAATAATGAAATAATTGATGAATAATTACACCAAAATTATTATCAAAAATAATAAACGAAAACAAAATGATGTAATTCATTTTGCCACTCCAATCAAAGAATGGATCCAGGCATTAAACATCAACAGCTGCTAACATCAAAAAAAAGATCAAAAAGCCGGTATCACATGCCTCCCAATGAAAGAACACAAAGCCACCTATAGTGTTGCCAAAAAAGTCAAACTTGAGACTGATGAGCTTTTGGATTCATCTGCAAATTAAGGGAAATAGAGAGAGGAACTTACTAAAGTCATCAGGAGTACACAGTCAGCAAAATGCAAGATGAGAGAAACTCTACAGGTCCAACAGCCTAGGTCCTATACATCAGTGTTTCTCAAGCTTTTTTTCATCTCTCTCCTAAGGAGCCTTTTTAGACATTTTTTCCAAATCCTCCCTCCCCACCCCATGAAATTTTAATGCCACAGATATACTGTATATCTGTTTGTGTATATCTATGGGCCTTTGGAGGGCCACAACCATGGTAACACTCAAATTTTTTGTCCCCAAAGAACCAACTTTCTTTGAGAAAGCATGCCATGAGAATGCATGCCATAGATAAAATGTAAAGAGAAAAAAGGAATGACAGGGCGGTGGGGGGCAACCTATAAATTAAAAGAGACTTAGAAGAAAAAGCAGGTTTTAAATATGGTAAGTCTAAACTCTAAAGTCTAGACATGAACACTGGGTGATAGAGCCATAAAGAAACACAAGGAAGTGATTACTATAAAAGTCAGGATATAGATTACCTGTGGAGAAGGGAGGGACAGTGTGATTGAGAGCGGGCACATGAAACGGCTGCTAGGGTGCCTGACATAGTTCTAGTTCTTTTTTTTTCGTTGAGTCATGTGGGATCTTTCGCTGCGGCGCGCAGCCTCTTTGTTGAGGCTCGCAGGCTTCTTTCTAGTTTTGGCGTGCGGGTTTTTTCTCTCTAGTTGTGGCTCTCAGGCTCCAGAGAGTGTGGACTCTGTAGTTTGCAGCACTTGGGCTTAGCTGCCCCGCGGCATGTGGGATGTTAGTTCCCCGACCAGGGGAGGTTGAACCCGCGTACACTGCATTGCAAGGCGGATTCTTTACCACTGGACCACCAGGGAAGTCCCATTCTATTTATCTAGGTGGTGGTTACAAAGCTATTGAGTACAAGTCAATAAGCTACACAACTGTTAGTGTGGTTTTCTGTATCTGTATCCATTTCTTAATAAAAAGGTTAAAATTTAGTAGTATATCAAATTATACCTGTTTAGATGTTATGACAAAGTGAAGTGAAATGACTATGATCACTGGTATCAGCATGGCCTTTGAATATATTTTGTTTTTAATATCCTTCCAAAATACCCAAATTTAGACTTCATCACCAGATATTTTTTTAATTCATATCTTGGGGATACTTACCTCTATCTGTATGTGTATATATGAAATTCATTAATTTCCCATCTAAAATCTACATCTATTTCTCCTTATGAAATTGTCATTTATTCCCTCAGTGTAAAAAACAAAATTAAAGGGCCTCCCTGGTGGCGCAGTGGTTGAGAGTCCGCCTGCCGGTGCAGGGGATACGGGTTCGTGCCCCGGTCTGGGAGGATCCCACATGCCGCGTAGCGGCTGGGCCCGTGAGCCGTGGCCGCTGAGCTTGCGCGTCCGGCAACGGGAGGGGCCACGACAGTGAGAGGCCCACATATCGCAAAAAAAAAAAAAAAAAAAAAAAAACAAAATTAAAAATTCTAGTCCTTACACTTATTTTAGGCATCTTTTTCAGACTTAAGATTAGTTACTTTGTTAGTTTAGCCAAGACACCATATCTACAAAATAGAATATAAAACTAAACATGGAAAAAGAAAACCACTAGATATGAGTTTTGGAAATGAACATAAAACTAAGTTAGTGGTTTTACATACTATAGCATTTTCTAAACGTATTATATTTACAAGTGTTAAGTCTACATACAAAAATTTAAGGGAAAAATAATTAGCCAGTCTTTTAAAAGTGTGCCATTTTAAAAATAAAAATCCATCCTTTCTTACTTCTTAAAGAGTCTTTTTTTTTTTTTT